TTAAAAGCTGTGATTATCGTTTTACAGAAGCATTTTTAAAACTAAGACTCAAAGAAAAAATTTGTGAATACCTTTCAATTATTAAAGGTTTACTTAAATAACTTTTGTCAAGATAAGTTGGAAATTTTTCAGTCTGTATGCAAATTTTATTAACTAACACATACTGTGCTTGTTTTATTTTTAATATGTCTAGCTGATAAAATGAAGCAAGCTTTAGCAGATGCCATACGTGCCCTTTCTAAGTCGTCATCCTTCAAAGCTGACCCACGTATATACATTACTCTTGTTGACCACATTGGTATTTTCAAAAGCATTCGCATCCGATCATCCATTTCACATGGTGACAATAAAATTACCAAATAGTTCTGCAAATTTAATCAGATTTATTTTTTCTTAATTGCAGTTTTACTAAAACATTTTTTTCAAACACTTTTTTAGCATAGATTAGTACATGAATCTGAAAACCCTTTAATTTGTGACTAAACTTTATTTAGCATTTTTCAAAAGATTAAAATTTGACCTGATGTTCTGAATGTGCATAGAATTCACTAAGAAAATCTCGGATGAATTCTGCTTCAAGATGTGTGATTGTAACCACTACGTGTTTCACATTACTTACCCAGCCCTCTGTGTATTCACCGCCTGCTTTTTGTCTTTCAACGTACGTCTGACCAAGTGCTTCAATCTTAAATTATGCTTAAAAATTTTGCATTAAATTAAACAGCTTTTTATATGACAAGGTGTCACTTCTGTCTTAAAAAATAACTTGAAATTTTTATAAAACTATAATTTCTATCAAATGACTTGTTTCGGAAGTATAGCGAACGCAATGCATATGAGCATAACAACGAACAATCTTGACATCCACGTGTCAGGGTACCAATCTCCATAACCTGTAAAGACAAGATTTCACTTGCTCTTTCTCATTACAGAATAGCAGAAAGTTTACTCAATTACTAATTTTACTTTAATTACTATTAGATTTAGACGTTGTTAATTTCAAGTAGCAAATTTTAAAGTTCGATTAAAAAATGTGTAGCAGTAATTCCCAAAAATTATTGCATAAGTACTAACCAACAGTAGAAAATGTAACCATAACAAAGTAAAATGAAGTAAACAAGTCAAAACGCCGTTCTCCTGCTCGTTGTAAGTGTTCAATTCCACACGTACCCGTGAAAACTAAGCAAAGCAAAGTTGAAAATAAAATGAGCATCTGACGCACCAAAGCTGATCGTCCAACAGATGTTGAAATTCGATTCGAATCATGCTGAAATATTTTGCATTCTTGAAAATTTTTTATTCCTTCATAAACTTGTCAACTGAATCATTTTTAGACAGTAGTATTTCTAACATTTATTATTGCATTTTCATCGTAGCTGTACTTTAACAAACATATATCGACTTAACATATATATAATTTTATTACTTAGAATCACCTTGAATTTTTAAGCAAAACGAGACATATGTAGTTAAAATAATTATTTTATATCGTCAAAATAATCTAAATAAGTCAATAAATATGCAAATTATCCTTGCCATTATCGTTTGTAAAGTGCTTTTAGCCAGCCAACAGTTCAAAAATATCGGTACATAGAGTTTCCGGCCAAGTGGTACGAATATCTAAATTATTACACACTGCAAAATAGCTCAAACACAAGCAAAAATTTGGGACTTTGTATATTCATCAAGTCTAATCTAAGAATTGGAAGCTAAATAAAACTGATTTAAGTGAGAATACTTTTGATTTTATAGTTTTTATTTCTTTCTAAAAATCACTACCTTAAGCTTATTCTAAGACTTAGTAGTGTTTTTAGTTCATAGTTTATAAATTCTGCAATAAAGCATCGCTTACTGTAGCAATTAGCGGCATACTAGTTATTAATTCCAATAAAAAATGCAATTTTAAAACGACTCTAAATGCACTACCCTGAAAACAATGCAATATTTACAAATTATTTTTAAATTAAAATTCAAAAAAATTGTAGCTATCATTTTAATTTTATTATATACCAAAAAAGGACTTTGCTAGGTTTAAAAATTTTATTATCTGATAAATTCTGTTAATGCAAAATAATGCTTACTTTGTAGCTGAGATAAAATATTATGATCGTTTGAAGCATACTTAAGAATGCCACAATTACTTGGCAAATCCACATGGAATACTTGCGATCAACCCATATTAGATTTTGGCTACAATCAAGATTTTGATAATATTTAGCATAAACTGTTCCATTCAATGGTTTTAATTTTATGAAAAAAAAAATGGTTTTTTGTAATCGAAAATTATGCATTGGTTTCACTACCAACTGAAGTGTTTATATTTTTTCAGACAACTTAATTTTTCAATTTCATGACAAAAACATTTAAATGAGGCAATAATTTTTGCATAATATCATGAAAAAATTGAAATATTTGTCAAAACTTTTCACAATGACTGAATAGGTCTTGTAAACACTATTTTATTTTAAAAGTTTTTAAATGGGAGTTGGATCAGATTGAAGTGAAAATTTTCCATTTCACTTCGTGCATTCTTTTTTTTTAAGCGAAATTTAAAATTATACATAATTTGAAAATTTAGATTTTTATTTTGTCATTAAAAAGAAGGCAGTGAAGCAATACACTACTGCTATATCATTATTTTCACTATTGTTAAGATTATTTTATTACTATTACTAAAAAAAAGATTATTTATTATTTAGATTATAAGATTATTCTTATTCTTATAGGATTATTCTTTTTTCGAGATTTTCTAAGATTATTTTATTATTAATAGAAGTGTAGCATTATGTAATAGTACTACTTGATAATAGCACTAATATCATTATCATTATCACTATTAGTTTTACTGTTATCATAGATTATTGATGTTATGATATATGAAAGGAAACATAACAACCGTGAGGTTTACACACATAAATATGAAGATGCAAATCAGAAGAATTACGGATTTAATACTTCATAAATTATTAACGTAAAGCAATTTATCTGCAAGATTAACTACATTTTGCAACGAGAACCAATGAGAAAAAACGACATTTAAGAAAAATGATTTCGTTGGACAAGAAAAAACAAACTATTTAACTTCGTCGATAGCGTAAGCTTTAGGTTGGATATGTCTTGGAAGTTGCCCATTATCATTGATGACTCGCACACAGTATAGTACACACGAAATAACTTTGATCAGAAGGTTGAAAACTCGAATTCTAAAACCTAAAAATGATATTTATAAGTCATTATCAACGCTTAAATTCTTGTAATAATTTATAATGATATTTTTTGTTTAAATCTCTTTTTTTATCATTCTCAAATTAACGATCATTCAAAATATTACTGATAAAATATCTCTAAAATTTTATTTCCCTTATTAAAAATTGTATTTGTACAAAAAACTTCATAAGACAACAAAAATAAACATGCATTTCTCTGAAAAAACCTTAACTTCAAGAAATTGTCTTCAACAAGCTTATCTTTTTAACGCTGAAATTGAATTTGTTTGGCATAACTAAATTTTTGTGTTAACTCATCGAACGGAATTAAAATAACATTATTTATGATAATTTTAAATAAATGACACGACTGAATCTCATATTTTGCAAATTAGAAATATTCTAATTAAACGTTTGCTTAACAAAAGTGACAGCGAAACTGTACTAACAGACTATAATATGAAGCTTAAGTTAATTTTGCATTTTTCTTAACTTTCTTAACATGTGCAAAAACCAAATTAGTTTGACTGCTTACGTAAATTATTAAGAATAAGTTTCAGGTCGAATTAATAGTAATTGATAATAATAATAATAATAATTTGATAAATTACTTTGTAAGACTTTTACTCAGAAGTCAATCAGCAAAATGAATATAAAATCGACTATTCTCTGCACATCTTCAGAATTTCTTATTAATTTTCTTATTAGACCGAGTGTAAATGCCATTTTTTCTAAAAAAGAAGGTTATCTCAAACAGACTTAATTAAATATTTTACTAACTTGTTTTGATATTTTCAATATAATATTGCTGTAAGCGATCTTTCAAACTTTGCCTCTTTCCATATTGCATTCGAGCGCTGAAAACGCTGGTTTTAATATACTTTTTCCATCATTTTAAATCACTTAAAAGTTTTTAGACTGTAAATATATATTTAAAAAAGTGGAAAATGAACTTGAAATTGTTTCACGTCATTCAATGCAAACCAAATTAATAATTTTAACAATTTTGATAAAATTTGTTCTTGTTTCTTTGGATTTTGAATGAACGCTGACAATTACAAGTAAATAATTATTATTAAAAAAAATTATCATAAATTGGTAAGATATTAAGTTTAAAATTAATATAAAATAAATACTGTAGTGTAGAAAGCATCCTTGTCGGTTTTCAGTAGAAAATTTTTATTTGAAGAAATGAGAAGATGGCTTGTAGGCTTTAGAAGGCAAAGTGCTTATGATAGAGTTAGAATAAAGACCTTAGCAAGAACTGAGTCAATGTTCAAAAATAAAGGTTTTTTTAGGATTAACTTTGTCAACAACTTAAGCTGAAATCCTCTTAGCAGTGATTTTACGTGAACAATTCAGTCTGTTTTAAGTCTCCATATCATTCGATACTTGATTTCTTCAGGAACTTTTTATTATGTGTGATAAAATTGATTATATTGTTTAAAACTTACATTCTTTGATGATAGTATAACATTTCTCTTGAGTATACCAAAATCTCGGGATTCACTCACTTTAGCTAGCTTTAGAGGAGAAGTATGAGATAGTCAGAATTGAGCCAAACTAGGCTAGCTAGACAGATCGATCGCATTGAAAAAGCAAGATTTAGCCAAAATGCTAATGATGAAAAAAATGCATTTTATGGTTGCATTCATTCTGCTTCATTTATTTTGCATAAAATTAACACTATTGAATAAACTCATAAATATGCTTGAAAATTAAATTTTTCTGAATTTACTGACAATTTTTTTGTTCTTATTTTTATGTTTTTTGTCTATTTTGAACGAATATTTTCAAAATTCATCAAATCATATCATAATTTGAGATATATTTTAAAAAGTACACAAATTATCTTAAAACATTATATATATGTGTATGTAAATATGATGTTGAGCCACAAAATGATGTGTAAAGTGCTGATTCTGAAAAAAGTTTTTTAAAACATTTTGAATTTTTAGTAACATATGAATTTGTACTTTACTTACACTTTGTTATTCTTTATTTATGTAATCGAGAACTGAAGGTAAATAAAAATTAAAGTGCAATTTTTAAATACTAAGTTATTAAATCGTACTGCAAAATGATTTAAAATATTCCAAATGCAAAGATAGTTTTCTGAATACTTGTTCATTGTATTTAAACTGATTAGATTGCCTTAAAAAATCAGCATAACTCACATAATCCACAAATTATCTCTCATGAAGTTAATAGAAAATCTACAAAATTGGATGTAAAAGTTTGTGGATATTCCATCTAAATGTATATTAACTGATTTTCTGTATAGATTTATTAATTGATCGTTTGATAATAAATGCTGTATTAATTTTATAAACAAACAAAAGACATCTAGAGATTCTGTGTAGTTAATAATTCCATATTTAGTATATCCCTGATGAACAAAGCTATGAAACTTCAAATACTTTCAAGAATTTGTGTAAATTTGCATATATTTACTAATTATCTCAATTTAATCAAACTTCATCTGTGATTCTGTTTTTATTATTTATATTTTTGAATAAGGTTTTTGTTTTATAAAACACAAATCTCAAAGAATAGATATCATTTTACGCGAGCACAGAAATCTAATATCAAATTATCCATAGCTAAAAGCAGTATCAAGTAAGGATAAATTCAGAAATGAGATAGATTAAAGTTGAGAAAAAAAAGAATGTGCGATTAATAGCAACCAGTTTTTATCTGTCAAAAACTTTATTTTTTGCCACAAAATTTAATTGCTGCCAAATGGGAGACAATTTGTTCTGAGAAAGCCACGCAGTAGCTATGCAGTATAATCAAATTAAATGACATTTGCAAATATGGAAAGAGAAGTAAAAAATGAAAGCAAATTTAGTAAAAGTGTTAAAATTTAATCGACGAGATTTACTCGTTTTTGATTACTTTTAGCATTTATCTGCTTTCGAATAGCTTTATTAATTATGCAACTTTTGTGCGCAATAAAATTTTTGTAATCTATGGAATAGACTGAAGCTAGTAGAGGAACAAGACTTAGTCAGCTTCACTATGATTTATTTAACTAAATAAAGAATTTCACAAATTCGATAAGCCTTGCAGCAATGGCATATTTAAGTCTTGCGCTCCATAATTTAATTTTCAAATCAAATTTGATTTTTTTTTCAAAAAATCATATTTCCAAAATTTTTAAATTTCTTCTGATTTTTATTCATTATTAAATTCCTTGAGCAAATCTTTTAGAAAATGCAAAAAATCATTTTAGATTAAAAGTACACAAATTGGAGTTTATGTATATGCAGAAGGTCACAGTTTTTGGAGCATCACTGAAGTAACTTTAATGCGTAAAGATAGTCAATTTATTCTACTCTTTCTGAGTATTAATAAAGTTTTTGAATGCGTAGAACAAAAAGGTAGCATACGTGTTTTGTACATTGTTTGAGACCAATGATACCATTGATCTCAATGGTGTTACAAAATTATCATCGCTGTCATCCGTTTCAAAACTTTCTGCTGACGTATATTTGTCATTACTTGAATCAGAATCTGATGCAAATTCACGAAGCATCACAAATTCTTCTGCTTTTTTTATTTTTCGACGTGTAAAAACTCGTGAAACGCTGACAGAACTGAAATTTCTTGTCATGATCTCAAAGGTTGAGTTGTTTTTTATCGAAATTTAATCATGAGATCACAAAATATTAAAAAATAAAAGAAATATTTTTGTTAACTTCAAAGATTAAACAAAATTTACAGGTAAGCAAAACAGTTTTAATAATAAAATAACCTAAACACTTTTACGGTGACTAGTCAATCTCATAAACATTGACTTTAATCCATGTAATCGCTTTAATTTAGGCAACTAATTATCACTGTGACTTTAAATCTTACAGTTTTCAATCTGAGAGCAATACAGTTAGATATTTGCAAAGTATGAATGCTAATTAGTGCCGTTTAGCGGAACAATCTTTTGTTTTCTGCACAAAAATAATTCAATTTTAGCCACTCATTTATTTTGCATTAATTTTGTTACTTAAAAATTATTATTATTTTTTGTTTTTTTTTATTTGTTTTAGCTATTTTGGTTTTTTCGATTTAGATTTTTTTGAGTTTTTTTTTGGGGATTATTTTTTTGTTTTTGGTTATGATTTTAATTACTATTATATTTTTTGGTTGCTAAATTTCCCTTAAATTTCATATGTGTAACTGTCTTAGACTATAGAAAGATTACTTAGACTACCTTCAATATAAGACAAAAAGTTAAGGAAAAAGAATTGAAAACATTTTTGTCTTTCAGTTCCTCTCAATTGTAACATTTAAAGTTCTGATGAAAGTAACAAACAAGTAATTAATTTTTTAAGTAACAAAATTAATGCAAATTGTTTGTAATTTAACAAATGATACCTTTTTGAACTTATTACTTAGCAAATGATAGCAATGCTTGAGAATTCTTTTTATGTTCATTCAATTCATTCATATTTAATTAAAATAAATGCACTCTGTGAAATTTTGCTCAGTTTTAATTTTCACTGTGGAGATTCTTAAAAGACTACTTTATTACATATTAGTTCGAAGCATTCAAGCTTACATCAGACTTGTTGTCAAAGCCATTTTAGGTATTATCAATAAATATCATAACTTACTGCTAACCGAACTAAACTTCACATAAGCTAAGATAACTGTACACGCTGCTATTCGATCTCATAAGAAATCTTCAACTGATTATCTTCGTATTACTTTTAATTGAGAAGCAAATACTTAGCAAACACTTTACAATTTATAAAATTCATGTGACGGTGCATTTGTCTACTGAACTTGTCAGAACATTTTCCAAAAAAAGTTTCAACAAGATTATTACTTTCAAGCATAAAATTATTTCGTTTACAGAGTAAACAGTTTTCTACAATTTTTAGTAACTAATGAAAATTTGTTCATATTTTTTAAGTTCACATTTTTATGACTTACAGTTGACAGAAATTAATTAATTAGCTAATTTTAATTCAGTAAACAAGCACATCGCTGTAGACATTTTTTCAATATTATGTAACTTTTATTTGCTGCATAATAATCATACAATAAAAACAACAACTAATATTCAAAAATCTGAATATATTTTTATGATAGAAAAGAAATAAAAATTTGCATTTGTATCCGTTATTTTTTAACATTCTTTCTTTTTACATTCCACGCAAATGTGGATAAATTTTGAGTGCATCCTACTAAAACATACAAGTTAAGTTTAAAAATGTTTAATAATTTCTCAATTTGAAAATGCCATAACTTTCAGTTCAAAGTTCTTTATATAAGGTAGAAATCATTAGTACGATATGAAAATGATATATAAATATAAGAACAGAATACGAGCAAATATTGAAATGTTTGTTACTTAAGTAAGCAATAATATTTGTTCTAGTGCAATTTTAGTATCACTTGACCAACAACTTACCGAAAATATACACATGTTTTGAAAATTATTAAGAAAAGATTGCTTATACAAGCATTTTGTGCAATATAACAATGTTGAGATCCCATAAACAGTGTAAACAATTTGATTAATAAATACATGTAAAAAAGTATTAAGTATTCAAATTTTGTATTTAATTATTGTTGAATATGCTTTTGCATACAAAACATTTAGAATTTTCAGATATTAATTTTTTCATAAATTTTCATCAAAATAGACAGAAGAGTAAGAATTATTTTATTAATATGATATAAGCTAGAAGCAGCTATAAAATCAAAAATAATTGGATAATCATTTTATCAGATTTCAAGAAAATATAAAAGCGAAAATAAGCGATTAAAGCAAGCAATAAGAAGAGCACAAGAAGCTAAGCTCAATCTTGAAAACAAATGTTGTGGCTTGAAGTTTGCAAATTA